GTACCAAATTGTAACTAGTCAGATAGAACGGCCTTTGGCCAAAGTCCTACATAGCCAACGGCTGATACAGGACTATAATGGAATAATAATAAGATGTGAAATTGATTTGAGAATGTTGAGTGGTCCTCCACCTAACGGTTCCCATGGTTGGCAATGACCTGATTGGAGCATGTGCAACGCTTCTTCGGTACCTGTGCGGCCAGTCAAAGGATCCGGTATGACGAATGATGTATATGCATGGAATTGAGCCTTTGAGTATAAGAGCCGAGGCTCAGGAGGGCAAGACAAGCGTCCAAGTACATCGTCAATTCCGAATTTTGCATAATCAGTGCTAGCAGCTGCTCGAACGGCCACGTGCATTCCATGGCGTGTAGTAGATATTGGTCCGCATGGTGCTATTATGCTGCGGCGTTTTTTGTTTGCGACGTCACGCAGTACGATTTTACTCTCGAAACCGTAGAGTGTGCCAGCATCTTGATTGGGATCGATCTCTTCATTCAACTCTCGACATTCGAGAAGCCCATTTGGGTTTACGAAGAATGACAGTTCCAAATGGCGTAGTTCCACAGACAGCTTCCCCCTGAAATTGACAGGCTGGAAAATGGTAATCTTGTGTGGGTGTTCAAAACCACGGAAGACGCCGGCAACTTGCTTGAAGAGGGAGGAATTAGGGTCGACCAATACTGTCCGATTGCTTCGATGAGCCTGCGATTTGATAAGATCAACTTTCCAGTCGCTTATCCTTGTCCTCCACAGAAAAGGCTTGCGCCGGATCTCAAGACATCTTGTGTTTATATTTAGCCAATGCACGCAGTTGGATACGAGTCCGTCTGGCAGATCGATCGTCTCAGGTCCGACGAAAAGGTGAGGCGGTATGTATTCCAGCAGCCCATCCCGACTCCAAGCACGGATGATGACCCGCCCATTCCGAGAGCCAAAGTGTATCTCGTTGTTTTTGATACGTGACGCAAGGACGTACGACATGCCAAATTCAGCAGATGGGAATGTGAGGAGATGTTGATTACCAAAGAGCTGTCTCACATCATTTGACTCTCGAAAATCGCGCGGAAGTCTTCCTAGTGGCTTGCCATCGATAAGTAAGTGACCCTCTATAAAGTTGTAGTGAACTACTTGTGTGTTTGCTGGATTCTTCGTCGCAGTCTTCATGGTGCTTACTACCCATCGGTCATGTACCGGTGAAACTTGCTTCCAACTACTGAAGGATTTCTCCACTGAACTGCCCGGTTCTGACCATGATGCGTTGATCGCCATGCTCACACTTTGAGGACGGGCTCTTATGGACTGCAGTAGGAGTGATTTGATCTTGTATGTTGTTTTAGTATCTCGAATAAACATCCTCTTCAGAATCGGTGGTAGCTTGGCCACGTCCACAAGAAGGTTCTCTTGAAGAGCCAATGATGCTTGGAAAAATGTAGACAAATCATTCTCTGACATCACAGCATCTGGTTCTTTGCTGTTAGAGAATGTCCTGCGGCAGAGTAATGCAGCCCAAAAAGCATATCTAGCGGCTATTTCCGCAACAGAGGTCTCTTTGGCATTTCTAACATCGGCTCGAAGACGGTTAATCCAAGCTAAGGTGATGCAACGTGCCTGAATCAAAAGTTCGTTCGCTCGCACCATGGGGGCCGCCAAGTGACAAAGGCGCAAACTCAACGTGATCATAACCTCCATGCAATGAATCTCACGCCAATTCGACGAGATGTCATTGAGGCGTATTTCCACTTGTGCGGCTAGGCGGTCACAAAATGACATATCTTTGAAGACTGCATGGATGTCGCCGAATGTATCGTGCTTGTCACTTGCCGGCCCGGCTTGAGTAGCAAGGTGATTGAATATGTGCATTGTACTCTCGTTGCTGAAGTTCACATTCGACGCGCCTAGTTCGACCAACATCGTCAGCCATCGGCGGGTGTTGCCGGAAAGCAATCGTTGATAAGCTGTGAACTCATGTACGGACATGTCGGATGGACATTGCGTTTCCGATGCGACGATTTCATATGAAGACGGCCCAGTTATCACAGTAGGAGGATGCGACGAGCTTGGTATGAGCAAGCTGCAAAGCCCAGGTGGTACATGTACTCCGCACTCATGTTGGAAGGTCAATGGTCTGTCGAAATCCTTGATCCAGGTCTTCGAAACCGTGTCGAAGTACGAGAAATTTAATCCATTGGGATAAAGGACATCGGATTCGGACGCTCTCATTTTTTTCTTACCAACTTTGTAATGCGTGCCACGAAATGATTTAGATGTCGATGCAATAGTGACACCGGTGGATTGTTTCGATGCATATGCTGTGAGCGGGTCGTAGTCTCTTAAGAGTATTGTCGGCGATCCGGATTGTGGTTTGCCAGGGTAAGCCAACATCAAAATCTTCCACGTTGCGTTGCGATATGCAGCAAAAGATTTTGGAATACCTAGCTCGAAGATAACTCCTGCTGATTTAATGGGGTCGCTAGGGAGAAAATCCTCGTGCGCATAGATCTGCATGCGGTTCCGGACTCGCCAATGCCAGCATTTGGTACATCCCCTTACGTCTCGCGTCCCATCGGGCTTGAATTTGCAGGTACATGCGCCTCCAGAGATACCCAAGGAATGTTTGTCGAACTCCGACCACCACTTCTCCAACTCTATGTCTTCGCCTGGCGTGATACCTCCGATGCTTGTTGTATGCTTTGATGGAGTTGTTGCAGTGATTTGGAGGTCGAAACGTATCTTACCACAAAGCAATTCTTTTCAGGCTCAGCGAATATGGTTGTCCGATACTTACATCCTTTGCATCTGTTGTGAATATGGCTCTGGATGTCACGAAGTCGGCGCATCCCCGCGGCTGTCGGTAAATGCAGAGCATCTAAGAGCTCGGGAGTAAATACTGGGTGGTACTCTAGGATGATAGGGAAAATATCCATGATGTACTTGTCCAGCCTCACCCAAAGTGTGAAAAGACTCAAAATGAACATGGACATTTGCTCGGGATCGGAGTCGTAGGCTGCTCCAACAATGCTCATGAGACCGAGTATTGCATCTGATAGTTTTTCGCAAAACGATTCGAGCGTGGAGTCTTTAGTTAACTTGGGCTCTTCCCTTGTTTCGATCTTGCTCTCCAACTCAGCCAATCGATGATACATATCAGTGAACCGCTCAACTTGCTCGATCGCGGTATCATGTAGCGATGGAAGCTGCAAAGATCGGGGAGTTTTCTTCTGTGAATGACGTGATTCCAAAACGCTTTGAAGGTGCGGTCTACTGTTGGGAAGAGACAGAAATTGTGCTTGCAGGTCAGCACGTGTGGGAAGCACAGGAACAGGCCGTGTCGTCTCTCGTTTGAATTTCTCCCAAGCTAAATTCACTAGCTGCGTGGCTTCCATAATGCTATTCTTGAAGAAGTCTGTAGTAGCGTTGAACAATTGGCCGTATACTTCCGGCATCCTATTCTTCTCTTGCTCGAGTTTTGCAAGACGACGACAGATTTTGGCTCGCAGAGTCATCGTCAGCTCAGGTGCCAGTCTTCTGGGGCATTCGAGTAGAATCTCAACAAGTACAGTGACGATCAAGAACTTGTAGTGAGCTCTCCCAGCTTCGTCCCCTAGCGAGAGTTGTAATTGTCTTTGAATTCCAACGCGCAGTGCTATCCAGAGAGGCAATCTCCGCCATGGGATCTCCGCAGTCTCGATGTTTGCATCATCACGAACACGTTTTCTCAAGCGATTAACATCTTCGTCTACTGGCGACCCAATCGATTCGAGCAGGGGCATAAGAAGATGCGTTATAAGTCCTGGACTGGCTGTATCGCGCGACTCGACGACTGGGGTTTGCGCTTTCGTCACAAGTGGCTGGAAGCATCTCAAGGGCTCTATGCTGCCCTTTTCCAGAAAGTCAGCAAGCGCGTCCTGGAACGATGGCTTTCGGAACTCGTCGGATGGTATCTGCGCTGAGCAATGAGGGAAATCGCAGATAAGAGCACCTTCACTAGCCAGTACTTCGGCAGATGGAGAGGATAGTTCGAAAGCTTCGAAGACAACAGCTTCTGTTTTGACACTATTGTAGAGTTAATCAGCTACAGGGTTCATGCTTTATTGTTGCCCATAGGCATTAGCCATACCTCGAATTGTATCGAACGATAAGCGCGGTGTTCTGTTCTGCGATATGTAGCAGAAGTGGTTGCTCCGCATTGAAGTTGTAAAATGTTGAGATCAGTGTCTGCTTCTCGAGCCGACCATTTATATGAAGACATTGGCAGCGGCGAAGGTGCTGACGAATCGCATACCAGGGAGATGTCTGTTCTTGACTAGCAATTCGGCTCAGAGTAGATGTAGCCTGGATGAGCCGGAGGATGATGGCATCACCAGTGCTTCCAATGTTGGCGTCCTGTTTACCAGGAAGCTGTGGTGGTAAAACAAGGTGGTTGAACACTTCCATGAACACGGACATGGCGATATGTGGCATACTCAGAATTCAGCTGCTAGTAGAGGGTGAGATTTACAGCAAGTCCTCACGAAAGGCTGGGTACTGATCCGACATATGAGGGAAATTGTAAGTGACTACAGACTTAACGCAGCTGAGTAATCGTTTCGTGTGGAGGCGAACAATGTGGTGACACATTAAGCTATGCGAATCAGATAGCGCCACATCCTTAGATTCGGACCCACAAAAACTATACTTTTTCCATAAGGCTAGGCCGTGGTATATCGAACCGGGGGGTTCGCGATGTGAGGTGCAGGAGTGCAGGATGCATCAAGTCTGCTGACGGCTGCGCTTGCTCGGTATCTATGCATATTTATGTGATAGCACATATTTCGTTATCCTGTCATTGTCTAGCATGCCTTCAAGTGAGGCTGAAATGCCTCTCTTTCGATGAGGGCATCAACACCCAGCTTTTTGTTTTATAATATTGATCATCAAGCTCATTCTGCGTAAAACGTAGAGAGATACAATGGAAGCGGAAAGGCGATGATGACTGCGTGATATTCGTTGTCGATACTTTATAAGACAAGAAGGAATGATAACGTCCTTGAGGATCGAGGCGCGATGTCTCTGCCATGTTTTCAAGTTTATCAATGGCTGTGCAATCAAGACTACATCCGCCAAATCTTAATCTTGTAGCTATCGAAACCCCAATGTAATTGATTGCTCGATGGCGTTATGCCATCCCAGACATCTTATCATCGTCCGTGTTTTCCCGTCTTGGTATTAGCGCTCTGAACTTCGGATCAGCCGTGTGATTACTTGCAGAAAGTCTGAGGGAACAAAGAAAAATGCACTATTAAGTGGCTGTGATATTCTCCAGTTTTGAATGCAAAGCAGCCTAGCACAGCTGCACGCACACAGGCGTAGATGCAGCCAACTATCAGGCTTGCTTCTCAGCCTAGCGCCTCAGCTCACATCTCCTCTTCCTTTCCACTCTATTATCTCTTCACATGTTTTCATCCTGCAATCTGAATAAGCAATTTTGCTCTCTAATACGACTACAGCGAGTCGAGTCCAGAGCCATCCATGCAAAGACTGACGCGAAATCCGAGTGTACCGAAATCCTTCCCTTAGCTCGCACATGCTGCAAGCCCCGCATTCTGCCCCACGACTCTCGTATGCCACTGTTCGAACTCAATTACAGTCTGCATTTTCAGGTCATGATGAGACAAGGATCACGTATCCCGCGCAGCAGGACGGCTAGGGTTTGCTTACCACAGCAGACATTGTCATAAAACAGCAACATGCTCAGGCAAAAACATCTAAGTTTTCACACCAAAAAAGACAACTCTAGCTTATCGTAAATTATCATAGCAATGCAAAGAGGCTGAAGCAAGTTAACAGGGAGCAAAAGAGTGATATACAAGTACTCTTGGCGCGCTGCCTTCGAATTATTATTCCATTATAGTCCTGTATCAGCCGTTGGCTATGTAAGACTTTGGCCAAAGGCCGTTCTATCTGACTAGTTACAATTTGGTACGTT